TTCAAATTTATGAGAATTTTAGAATGACATTTTGAAGGCTTTTAGAACAACACTACATTCTATTACATATATAGTATAGATAAACTAAAAATAATTTAAACTAGTTGAAAAAAAAAAAACAAAAAAAATTGACTATTGAAAAGTTGGGCAAGGATTTCTTAGTTACAAAAAGCTGCTGGTCCAATGCATTGTACAGAACAGTGCTATAATTGAGGATGAATGGATATTGGACATAGGCTTTGTGTGGTGCAGTTTATGAAATTGGTGTTAAGGGTTTTTTTTTTTCCCTTCTAAGAACCTATGATAAAGTGTTTGATATAGTTTCTGTTTATAATTTTTGAGAAAAAAATGCTTTAAATAAGATAGAGAAAAACTAATTATTGGACTGCTAGGATAGAAATGCTTTGAACTTTTACTATTTGGTAATCAACTTTTAATTTGTAAGAAGTTACACCAAATAGGGGTGTTTAACCTATTTGGTTTTATTTAATTTTGTTTTGAATTCAAAATTAAAAAAATTAGGTTGTTTTGAAAATTAATTCCCAAAATGGGTCAAAATGTATTTTGTAAATACGTTTCTGATGAAAAATAATAATAATTCATTTAGAAAGCGTATTTTGTAAATACATTTTCTTAATCAGAAAGCGTATTTACGAAATAAGTTTTCAACATTAATTTTTTTAAATAATTAAAAACAACTAAAATAATTTTTTTAAAATAAAAAGCTGAAAACATAATTTGTAAATAAGTTTGCATAATTATTTTTGAAAACTCGTCATATTTTTTTTTAAAAAAATAATTAATAAAAAATTGAAATCATAATTATTATTTTTTTTTGAAAAATGAAAAACTGAAACACATGTTTTTTTAAATAAAGATTCATAAACATGATTTCTATTTTAAATAATAACAAAAAAATTGTCTTTAAAGAAACGGTAATAAAATGATAAAAGTGTTTTGTAAACACGTTTTTGATATAAAAAACTTGTTCTATTTTTTTTTTTAAATGCAAAGCATTAAAAAAAAATTATGTTGAAAACATGTTTTCAATATAAAGAGAAATTATGTTGAAAGAGAGATGAACAACGGCGAGTAAGAGCCCGGGACAAAAAAAAAAAAATGTATAACAGTAATAAGATGCAATGCCATAAAAAATAAAAAATAAATAAAAAAGGACTGAAAGCATGTTTTTAACATAAATGAAAAAAAATTTGTTCAAAGAAAGCAAGCTTTTTATTTTTTTTAAAAAAAATTACATTGATTTGTATGCCGTAAATAAAGAAAAATAACGTATTTACAAAATAAACTTTCATTAACTATTTAAAAATAATAAAAGCGTATTTATGAAATATGTTTTCTATTTCAACTACTTTCTATTAATTATTTAAAAAATATGATGAAAACATATTTACAAAAATACAACAATATTAAATATTTAAAAATTAAATAAAAGTGTATTTACGAAATGCGTTTTCTATTTCAACATGCTTTATAATTTATTTTTTAAAAAAAATTATGATGTTTTTTCTATTAATTATTTAAAAAAATGTAAAATACTTTTTCAGTTTCAATAGACTTTCAATTAATTATTTTAAAAAAAATTATGATGAAATACGTTTTCAAATATTATGTCAGTTTTACTATTTTTAAAAAAAAAATATGATTTTAGTTTTTTATTAATTATTTAAATAAAAAAATATGATGAAAATATGTTTTAAAAAATTATTATGAAAACGTATTTACAAAATAAGTTTTCAGATTTTTATTTAAAAAAATTATGATTTCAATTGTTTTATTAATTATTTTTCTTAAAAAAATTATGTTGAAAACATATTTTGCAAATATGCTTTCTAAATGATTTTTTTTTTTTTAACAGAAAAAATATTTTAAATATGCTTTCTAAATGATTTTTTTTTTTTAACAGAAAAAGTATTTTTTACGAGATACGTTTTGACCTATTTTGAGAATTAATTTTCAATGCAACCTAGTTTTTTAATTTTGAATTAAAAAAAAAAACCCAAATAGGTTAAAGCCCCCGCCAAATAGGCCCATAGTTTCAGTGAACTCAATTTCTTTTTGGGTAAACTCTCAAATTTGTTATGTGGGATTTAAAGAATAATTACATAATAATTCTGCATTATCCATTTTGCAAGTTGAGGTAGCACACTTGAACAAATAAGACATTAATAATGGAACGAGTGGACCTGATCCACTTTAGTCAGTTGGAAGTGAGTCAAGTTCGGCCCCATCATTCTTTTCTGCAGGTTTCGATAATTAGAAGTACTAGGGTCAGTATAGCATATTTGTCTCAGATTCAAACCAAAATGGGATCAAGAAAAAGTTTGATTGGGTTGTATATATATGCATATATATATATATATATATAATTAGTAATAGTAAGTTACCTTGGTTTCGCCCTGCTTTTTATGTTAATAAAAATACTGAACTTGAATATGGTGTTCCACGATTAGTCATTAATTATAAACCGTTAAACAAAGTTTTAGAATGGATACGCTATCCAATCTCTAATAAAAAAGATCTCATTAAACGACTCAGTTAACCTGTCATCTTTAGTAAATTTGATCTTAAAAGTAGATTTTGGCAAATACAAATTTATCTTGATGATCGCTATAAAACTGTTAACCACGGTTTCCAGTTTTTATTTTTATTGTTTCAATCATGGTTTTTATTGGACTATACAGGAATGTCTTTTTGGTTAATTTCAGGTTCTATTGTCTTCAGGGGTTATGCCGGGCTTATAGTCCTTGGTACTATTATTCCTTGAATTTATCTGTTTACATTGGAATTTTGCTATTAGAATCAGCAAATTTAAGAGAAAAATTAATGTGAAGTATGCCGTGAAGTATTTGTGGTGGTTTGAGAAGAGGAGGGGAGAGAGAGAGAGAGGTGAAGAAAAAGTAGGTTGAAAATAGAATGGCATATTTTGTAAATTTGAAGAGGTAAAAAGGTTATTTTCGTCATAAAACGGACTCACTCTCTATGAAGGCGCGTGACTTACACATTATGTTATTTTAGACAGAAAAGTGCATTTTAGTCCATCAACTACAAAGGGATTATGTAGTGATTTCCGAATGCTAGGGGTAAACTGCACCCGGCCCAAACTAGAGGGAAAAAGTAAAATTTGCCCAAGATAGAAATTAAAATATTAATTTGCCCATGGCACCAACCTATGCCATGAACCTAACTTCGGTGTAAACTTGGGCCCATATAAACAATGTACTGTTAGCCACACATCTGTTTTTGACACACAGGATGGGTACAGAATATAGTTTTATGCTGTTTGATTGTGAATTTGAAACTAATGTGCTAATAGTTGTATCGATGGTGGTGGTGAGATGGTGGTACTGTGGAAGCATTGGTAAGATTTTTCCTACAAAGCTTTTGTTTTTTTATTTCTCAAGTAGAAAGTGTTTTCATAAGCTCAATGGAAAGTATTTTTCATGTTTTAAAACTAAATAATGTTTGCCATCTAATTAAGTTTAACCAAAAATGAAACGTGCACATTGAATACATTGTTCTATACGGAAAGTTCGTATAATTTTTTTCTATTTGTATATTCGTTACTCATTTCTTCAATGGCTATTTTCCTCGTCCGCAAAATCTGTCTAAACTGGTAGGATATCAAAGACAACATATCCACATAAATATCAGAATTTTTGCAAGAACTTTGATTGCCGGAATTGCTTTCCATAGCCTCAACAAACTGTTTTCCTCCGTAGCTCCAACCATAAGCTCATATCCTCAACCAATCTTATACTCACTTTTTGCTGAGAACTGTGAAGTCCAATCGTCCGTTGCATTCGTAATTGAGATAGATATGCTCCCAATGATATCAGGTAGTATATTACACATTTTCGTAATTGAGATAGGTATGCTCACAATAATATCAAGTAGTTTATAGCACGGTATTGCAAAGTGTGTGTAAAAAGTGTACACAACCGACTCTAGTAACACCTTCCTTGCCAAAGACAAACATTTCTCTTTCTATCCTGGATGCCTCTGTTTAACCCCTTCCGCGACAGATTTAAAGAGCTTCATCTTGGACCCACCCATATGCAAAGGCAACCCCAAGTATCTTTGAACATAGTCGACAAATATTCAACACAAATCAAAAAGAAAAACGGTGATAATGAATTCCCTCGTCTCAACTGCCTAGATGGAACAATGAACCCAGGTTTGTGCCCGTTAATCAGCAAGGAATGAAATACAATAGAGACAAATTACACAATCAACCGGATCCACTGCATTGCAAATCCTGACTTGCTCATAATAGCCACCAGAAGGCCATTCAACTCTATCATAGGCCTAGCTCATGTCAAGTTTAACAGCCATAGAACAATTTTTACCATACCTCTGATTTTTCAGATAGTTCATGATCTCTTGGGATAACAGAACAATTTCAACCATCCCTCTCATTTTCCTATTTGTATATCATTACTATTTGTCAATCATGATCACGATGATGAAAATTATGTTTTTAAAGGAACCACACTATGCCACATCATTCTATACAAAAAAAATTATACAATTTTTTTGTCTGCATATCACTACTCAAACTTTTAATGCATGGTGAATAAGTGATACATCATGTATGCAAAATATATAAAAAAAATGAAGGATATATTGTCAACTAAAATGCACTGTCCCCCCAGTTGAGGTGGCTGGCCATTCCAAACACCTAAATCTGCTTAAACCATTTTGGAATCACAAACTCTACTCCTACTTTATGTTTTGACAGTAAACAAGTTATGGAATAATACTCCAACAATTTCCTCACAAATAGAAGTTATGTATTACAGATAAACACTCACAAACAGTTATATTACATACAAGCACACTTAACTAACAATTTCTAGTACAATCAAACACTTAATCTCTAATTGGTATATTTTCTCTGATAGCACCTTTGAAAACACCATTTCTATTTGATTCAGAACAATGGAGGGAAGCCATAGCAAGACAATCTTCATCCTGAAACATATTATCAAACTGGTTTTACATTTTTAGCCAAAGGTAAACAAGCTACTAGCTTAAATTAATAGCTAATTTTTAAAGGTTAATATTTTACATTATAAAATTACATTGGGATTTCTCAACATTCTTTAGCTTTTGTGTAACTCACTACTAATAATTTTAAAAAATATATTTTTCACAAGCGTATCATAATTGTACCCGTATTCTATTTTTTTAGGTTCTGCTATATTGTCGTATATGTATCGTATCATATCTTTATATCATATCCGTCATATCCATGCTTCCTAGTCTAGGAGGATGGCACTTCTATATAAAAGCAGGCACCCCCACGTGTGAGAGGTGCGTGAATTTATGTGTTATTTTGAGTTATCGTTACTCTGTCAAAATATCTTGAGATATTAGCTTGCTGGCTTTATCATCGTAGTGCTTGAGCAACCGGGTTAGTTATTCTTCTAATTGCGTAAACATAGATCTGGGCAGCATGTTCTACGACTGTGTTTCTAGAATTTCAGGAGAAATATCAGAGTATTGGTTGTGATCAAATTTTAGCATACACATACTCCATACACTTTAATTTTTGATAATTTTTTTATTTACTTTTTCAAGATCCTTAATGTTTTGGGAAATTATATACAAGTAGAAGAAGGGGGAAAAAATTATAAGTACATGGAGGGTGCAAGTGTGTCTGTGGGGTGCAAATAAAAGATTGTGGGGTACAAGTGACACTTGCACCCCTCCATGTGTTGGTAATTTCTTTCTCCTTCTCCCACCTGCATGTAGTTTCTCCTAATATTTTTTCATACTTGACCACATGGATATTGTTATCTAATACTTACATATCACATATACCAAAAATGTTTACAAAAATTTAAAAAATAAAATAAAAATGAAAATGAAATATGAAAAAACATAAAATGTTATTTGCTATATGCTCAATTAAATTAAAAAATAAAAAATGAAAATGAAGTGAAAGAAACTATTTTATGTAATTGTAAATTGGAAATTTTAGTTGTTATATCGTTCGAGAAAATCTAATATAAAAGTATATATATTTATCTTGTGTGCTAAATGTAATTTTTATAATTCATTCAATTTTTTTTGATCTAAAATGTTACGTAATGACATACATATCTATTAGTTAATACTTACAATAAAATATTAATAATAACACAATTAAAACATGACTTTAGTGCAATTCAAATGACAACAACTCATTCACATAATGTCAACTATGTTTTTCTTTTAAATTTTAAAATTATTATTTTAATTTTTAAGATAAAATTTTTACTATTTATTTAAGGCTGTACAGTTTTGTGCTAGTTTATATATACACAAGACAGATTTCTGTTATTTGAAGTAGGGTTGAATCCAAAATGAGAAATATGACAGAGAAAAGAAATGATTAAACATAAATATAAAAACGAACATACCTTTAGAAGTTGTATCATTACACTTTGATTCAAAGGTCCCACGCATGTTTCCTAATCTGCACTGTGAGCCAATTATTTCCAATGCTCTCTTGCTCTTCCTTAATTTTCCTGACAGATTCCACAACAGTGAAGCCACAATAGTTTACCTCAATCATCTGCAGAGTGAGTATATCCCCCAAACTAGATGGTATTTCCTCGGGATTTTTCTATCATTTCCAACGATAAGTGTTGAAGGCTTGGAAAGTGACTGTAGCAGGTGATCCATCGCTCAAATTTGAGGTTCTTCAGTTTCAAGAATTTGAGTCGAGGAAAACCACCATCAATTGTTGTCCAGTGCCATTCCCAGCCAGCATCATTTTCTAATTTGAGAAGCTCAAGGTTGGGTAACAACATCCCAAGGACTGATATCTCCTCCCACTTTATCCTTGTACATTTCAAGGTTAGCCTTTTAACATTTCTAGGAAACTTGACCTCTCGGAGATAGGTTGAGTGCAAGAACTCACGGTATAGCTTCAAAGTGTCGAGGTGTCCTAAAAATTCTAGATTAGGAAACATCAAATTCCCCGAAGCAGACAAAAGATGTACACAAATTCCCAGCTTTGTAAGATAAGGAGTTCTTGCCAAAAAATCCTGAACAGATCCACATGGATCTAAGTCTGTGATGGTTCGTAGGTCTTTTAATACACGGGGATAGCTCTGATCCACTGCTGCTTCTTCAGAACATAAAGACACATCAACTTTTGCTCCTCCTTTAGCATAAAGATGCCTCAACTTTGGAATCTTCCAAACATTACATGGCAGAATAACCTTTACATAGTTTGTAGAAATAATAATAAGTGTTTCTAGGTTTGAGAGATTGGATATTGGTGGTGGTAATTCATAGGCAATTGTCAGATTAATTGCCAAATACCTCAAATTAACAAGTTGTGTTAGTTCTCTTGAAAAAAAGGCACTGTTGTACCATATGTCCAACACTTTGAGAAGTTTGAAGGTCTGACAAATAAATGAGCACACATCACCAAATCGATTGTCGTGATAATGATCTAACTTACTTCTGAAGCACAAGAACGATTGAACAACTGTTGGGGCATAAGACATGGAGGAAACATAATCAGATTTTTGAAAGAAGTTAGAATGGGTGCACAGGCGGCGTTGGTTATTTGTTACACAATTACTTGAAGAAGAAGGAGAAGCGTCTTTATCATTCTCAACTTGCTGTAGGAAATTAATTTCCCTGGCTTTCTTCAAGCATAAATCTCGCAACAAATCATGCATACGACATGCTTTAATTCGACCATCAAACCTTATTTGCTTCCCAATTCCAATCAGTTCTGGAGGGCAACTTTCATTTTGAAACATCTTCCGTTGTAATAACTCCCAACTCTCTTCTTCAGTGAGAAAACGCAGACAATGACGATGGCAGTCAGGTGAGGCATGCATAGCCACCTCTTTGAGGCGACTAGTGAACATAACTCTACTTCCATTGTTGTCATTGGGGAAATACATTTTAAGATTGACCCAGGCACCAATATCCCATAAATCATCAATGACAATGAGATATCTCTTGCCTTTTAATTGCTTGTACTAAGTACTGGTTTGGATCACTAACAATGTATGAGCTTACACTTTGGGCAACTTGTTTCCACGACTCTTGTGCCTTGTTGTCCTTTGCAAGAAGTCATGCTAGTACAACAATTGCAAGCGGAAGCCCTTCACATTTTCTCATTATTTGCTTCCCAATTCCAATCAGTTCTGGAGGGCAACTTTCATTTTGAAACGCATTCCGTTGTAATAACTCCCAACTCTCTTCTTCAGTGAGAAAACGCAGACAATGACGATGGCAGTCAGGTGAGGCATGCATAGCCACCTCTTTGAGGCGACTAGTGAACATAACTCTACTTCCATTGTTGTCATTGGGGAAATACATTTTAAGATTGACCCAGGCACCAATATCCCATAAATCATCAATGACAATGAGATATCTCTTGCCTTTTAATTGCTTGTACAACTTTTCGCCTAGCTTCTCATTGGTCATGTTTTTAATTTCATCGGTAAAGACGACATTAACAGAACGTAAAATGTCCAACAACATATCTGTTATTCTGGGTAATTGAGAAGCATAGGTCCATGCACGAATATGAAAGTAGTGTGAGATGTAAGGATCATTGTACAGTTTTGTGGCTAAAGTTGTCTTACCAAGTCCGGGCATCCCAACAATTGATATCATTTGTAGCTGCTTCTTCCCTCCAGCAAGTAGCTGTTTTATAGTCAACGCCTCATCATCAAAGCCCACTGTAATTTCTTCATGTACCATGGTTCTGTTCTCCATTGACATTGACATTGACGAATGGACTCCATGATTGAAAGACTGATCATCTTGTAGGAGTTGGATCTGATTTATCTGGCCATAAAATTGTACCACTTTTGCTTCGATCGTCTTAATCTCTTCCATGATAGTAATTTCTTCAAAAAAAACTGTCACCGTTGTTGCTGCTGTCCCTCTGCCCTGGAACTTGAACATCAAAAGAACGGATAAGTTGTCTTGTCTTGCAGATCACATAATAAATTTGCATCCGCAGGATTTTAGCTTCATGGTTCAGCTCATGCTGCTGCTGCTTCTCGTCCATATCCTTGAGAATGATTGCTAGGAATCTTAGCCGATAGTAAAAAGAGTCGATATGATCTATCTGATCTGCAGTCAAATTGCAGGCCTTACTGATCATTAGATGATTCAGTTTCTCCAAGACAGAATAATTTTCACCCATCTCCCTCTCCCTCTCCAATCTCTTTCTCTCTCTTGCTCTTTCTATTTCTTCCTCTGTCAAATCAGACAACGTGTTTCTCTTTCTATATACCGATCTATCTCTCTTTCCATCTCTCTCCGTTTCCATCTCTCTATCTTTCTTTCTCTTTCTCTTTCTCTTTCTCTTTCTTCTCTTCCTCTTTCTTTGGCTTCCTCTCTCCCACAGACGAAGCTCATCAGAAAAGACTTTGTGGGTGTTTTGCAGGAAAAAAACTGGTGATTGAGCAGAGAATCTTGAATGGGTTGGTGGTGGTGTCGATCCAAAAAAAACGTGTAAAGAAAGATCTTTCAGAGTGAAGAAGCAGAAGGAGCAAGTGGCTTCTTGAGCTTGGATCCAAAAGGAAACATTGAAAGCAGAATTGCAATGCCAAAAGTAAAGGTAAATATAAAACAAAGTGAAAATTAAATTTTCACTTATTTTTTAATTGGGCAAATTATCTACACCACCATTGAAGTTTAATGAAATTACAAATTTTTTCTGTGATTTTAAAAATTATATTTTGTTCCATCACAATTAATGTCATTAATGGATATTATAAATTGATTAAAATGCCCTTTTGATAAATAATGACAAATTACTTACACCTCTTGAGATTTAATTAAATTACAGATTCTCTCTGAGATTTAGCTAAATTACAAATTCTCCCCTAATATTTAGCTAAATTATCATTTTTAAATAAGTTATGAAATGTAAAATTTAAATGGAAAAACACTCATCACACTACAAAAAATTAAGGTTTTAGAGACCAAAATTTAGGGCCAATTATTTTTAGAAGACCAAATATTTTTGTTGCAAAAAGTGTCGTTATTATATTTTTAGCAATGAAAATTGAACATTAGTGATTAATTATTATCTTTTTGGTATCAAATTTTTTGTCTCAAAAAATAAACCATTTTGAAACCAAATTATTTTGTCTCTAAAAGTCTAGTTATTATTGACATTTTCGAAATTTTATCAGTAAAAGCGTTATTTTTGGCTTTTCAGGGCGATCTTTTAGCGACTATCCTCATGATAATAGAAATTAGTCCCAAAATGTCTTTTGTAACAAAATTTTCACTTTTAGAGATAAAAAAAATTAGTCTCTAAAACTCTTATATATTGTAGTGTCAGATGGTGAAAATATCATAAAATTAACAAATAATTAAATAAGTTAAAAACACAATAAATGGCTTGTTAAAAAATTCTTAGAATATGTTTGGTTTGATTTTTAGAAATTTATTTTTAAATTTTTTCAAAAAAATTAAAATTAATTTGGTTAAGAAATAAAAAATAAAAATAATAATTATTTTTATATAATTTTATTTTTGAGGGGTTAGAAATAATTTTTAGAAATTAAATATATTTCTTCATATTTATTTTTATTAAATTAGTTTTTATTTTTTTTTAAATTCTGAATTTTTTTTTCTAAACAAATCGAACATGGTTCGAAAAACATAATTTTTTTTTCCATCTAACGTAATTCTTTTGTAAATTTTATTGATTTATCAAAGGGATTTCAGTATGGGCAATATCGTCCACCAATTTATATTTTGGTGATGTCAGCTAATCATTCTTAACGTTTAATTAATGGTAAAGGTTAAATTGTCATTCGAATATAAATCTCGGGGCCGAATATAATTTTTAAAACTTTAAAGGAATATGTAATTTAACTAAACATCAAAGGAGGTGGGGGTAACTTTCCCTTTTTAATTTAACTCTCAGATTTTGATTAATATTGTTTTTATATTTAAATTTTTAAAATTTTGATTAATATGACCTTTGTCGTCATATTTTGTCTATAATTAGGCAGAACGTGTTAATGTGGTATCAAAATTCATTTGGAATTTCATTTTATTTTCAAAACTATACCTTAAAAATTAATTTGTCCCTCAAATATAAAAAATAATTAAATTTAAATATTTAATAAATAATTTTTTTATCTCAATAATAGAAAAATTAAATTTTAAATAATATATACCTTGCAAACAAATAATAAAAAATAAAAAATATATATAAAAATTCTCATTTAGAATTATCTTGAGACTATAAAGTATGGATAATTCGACAACACATGTCGTGCCCGTACCAGGTACTTATCGATGTATTGTATTTTTGTATACGTACCGGATACACAAAACATTTACTCAAATGTCTCATTCTTAATTTTTGGCATTCCCAGACATATCTAGTATATATTCAAGCTGTGTCATACCTTAGTCGAAATAATATTTTTCTTCTATTACAAAGATAAAATTCATTTTACTAAAATTCCTTTTACTAAATTTCCATTTCATTTTTAGTTTTGTGTTTAGCATGATTTTAAAATTAAGTTATGATTTGTAAATATAATGATATTAAATTTTGGTTTATTTTATACATGTACTTTTGGCAGTAAATGTCAATTGTATGTTGAATTTAACAAATTAAACCATTTAATCAAGTTTTGGGTTATTCCAAATTAAAAACAAATATTTTTTTACAAACGTATTAAGCCATATCAGTACTATACTTTTTTTTGGATTTTACTGTGTCGACATACCCGTATCGTACCAATACTAATACTCATACCCATACCTGTGCTTCGTAGGCCTTAAATTATCTCGAGTCGATCTTGGAGAAATGTATTGAGCTGAATTTTTTTTGATTACTCTATGTGTGTGTACGGGCACAATTGTAACTAGTTTAGTACCCAAATTAATTTTAATAGAATTGATCGAAGTAATTTCAAAATTGAGTAGGAAAAAAATTTCAAAATTTGGTCAGTACCTGGTATGGGTACATTATGTTTGTCGAAGTACCCATGCTTCATAGTCTCAAGCTAATTCTAAGTGAGGATTTTTATTATTATTATTTTTTTTTGCAAAGTATATATTATTTAAAACTTAATTTTTTCATTATTGAGATAAAAAGTATTTATTAAATATTTAAATTTAATTTTTTTATATTTGGAGGGCAAATTGATTCTTAAGGTATAGTTTGGGGGATAAAATAAAATTTTAAATGAATTTTGGTGCCACGTCAGCACATTCTATCTAATTGTAGACAGAATGTGACAGCATGGGCTAAATTGATCAAAATTTTGAAAGTTTGAGTGTAAAATTAATATTAATCAAAATTTGAGAGTTGAAAAACGCGTGAAAGTTTGTGGGCAAAATGATATTTTCTCTAAAACAAAAGCAAAGAGCTTTACTTACATAAAAGTGAATCACCACCTTCTAGTCTTTGTGCTTTAAATAAATAAAGGAAAATGATATAGAGACACATTAGTTACTCATTTTCTATACTTAATAATATGTAAGTGATATGATTAGTTGATGATTAGAGAATATATGAAAGAGAGTGTAGCACATTCTATCTAATTGTAAACAGAATGTGACAGCATGGGCTAAATTGATCAAAATTTTGAAAGTTTGAGTATAAAATTAATATTAATCAAAATTTGAGAGTTGAAAAACGCGTGAAAGTTTGTGGGCAAAATGATATTTTCTCTAAAACAAAAGTAAAGAGCTTTACTTACATAAAAGTGAATCACAACCTTCTAGTCTTTGTGCTTTAAATAAATAAAGGAAAATGATATAGAGACACATTAGTTACTCATTTTCTATACTTAATAATATGTAAGTGATATGATTAGTTGATGATTAGAGAATATATGAAAGAGAGTGTTACTTTTAATATTTTAATTGATTATCACATTACTGAATTTAAAAATTGAGTCTAATTTTTTTTTTTTCCAAATAGCAATACTCATAAATAAATGTAATTATAAAGATCAATAATGTAATCTAATTTAAGTTCTCAATTCACCGACTATTTATTGGGTGTCAGTATAAATTTTTATTATTTTCATAAATTTTTAAACGGATTTTTTTTTTAAGGTCCTTGATATTAAGGTTGTATAGCATAAAGGACATTCAATATTTTCATAATGCCTAAGGCCTCTTAACCTTGATCCAGAGAAATTTCAGTCCAGAGAAAATTGGTCCAGAGAAATTTCAAACTACATATTTTTATTAAGTTTAATAACGAAAATATATTATTCTGATAGTTTTACTATGATTTAGATTAAAAATAAATAAAAATTAAAAAACACTTAAAATTTATTTTGTTATAAAGTTTAAATATTAATTAATTTATTTTTTTAATTTGTCTAAAAAAGAATTTTAAATTTTTTTTAGATGGGCAAAAGAGAATTTAAACTATTCCAATAAATTGGTTTAGAAAAATGCATAGATTCCTTTTTTTGGACTCTCAGAATCCCTTTGAATCTCAACAATTGATATATGTGTGGGATCTATTCATGTATATAGACTTACCCCATTAATAAATGAGATAAAAAAGTAAAAGGAAAAAAAAAGTTTCAATCATTGTTGATTTGTTTAAGGCCCCAATACGCCTACCTTTGACTGGGCCATATGAATGAATTTTTTGTTGCAATCCACTGGGAATGTTCATACATTTTTTTAATTTTTTAAAGCCCTATCAATGTCTTCTGAAATTTTTTTATTTGATATAATTTTTGTTTACATCACATCAACGTACTAAATGTATTTTAATCCTATCTATTTGATGTATGTAATGGAAAATTTTTATTACAAATTTAATAATTATAAAATAAAAATATAAATTTATAATTATTTTTAATTAAAAAAGATTATTAACACTCACTATTAAATTAATATAATAGAATATCTCCATTATAAATATGCAATGGAAAAGTTCACAATTCCTAAATTAATAACCAATGCCTATAATTCTACTTATAATTTTTGGTGCAATCTGTATAATATTCATTTCATTTCAAATTATTTGTTCGGCATAGAAAATGAGAATTTTCTCATATCGAATTTTTAAATTTTTTTTCACTAATTAAAAAATCTTTTTAATTATTATTACTTTACCAAACCAAACCAGACCAACCTTTAAGTCTCACCAAATGGGGTCGGTTACATGAATTCTTCTTCTCCACACGGCTCTATCAAAGGCCATATCTCTAGTCAAATTAAATAGATTCATATTTCTATTTACTACGCTAGCCAACGTCAATATAGGTCTACCCCGTCCCCCAACACTTCCATCTACCGTCACTGTATCGCATCTCTTCACTACTGCCTTTGTTGGTCTCCGTTGAATATGACCAAACCATCTCAATCT